AGGAATTTTAGTCTACACCATCTTTTAGATGAGTGCCTATATGCACTATTTGGGTCTAACACTGAGAAAGCAAAAGGTCTTCAGTGCAACCAGAGAATGTTCCTGCAGAACAGGTACATTTTGGGCCTTGAAAAAGTTTTGTCCAAATACTCCACTTGGTTCTGGTTTGATGTTACACCTAGGCCCATACCCAGTGCTCAGGCAAAAGGCTGAAGTCTCTCTTAGACTTACCAAGTGAAAAGCATGTATTGCTCAAAGCTGTGTAACATAAATGTAAATCCTACACAGGAACAGGAAAAAAAAATGTAGCTGAGCAGCATTCTTGTGATGGAACCAAGAATGTTATCCTTGGGATTCTTTTATTTCTAATTTCACTCAAATGTTAATTTTGAAATGTGCATGGGACGCTGGATTGTTTACTAAGAGGAGATTCAGATTCACCACTTCATCTTTGTACATCCTTTATCAGAATGACACAACCCAGACGGGCTTCTAAAAAATAATTCTCTTCAGCTAATGGAAAATTAAAAGGATTGCCATTCTACCTCTTCTCTTATATATGAAGGTATATACAGGCTTTGTGGTTCGGGGAGTATATTTTTGTTCTGCTTGTATATACCTTGCAGAAGAGCATTCTGGTGCATGAAACAGGCCTCTGGTTATAGCAATAATGCCTGTAATACATGGCAACACTGACTGTGACTTATCTATACATCCAGACAACAAAAACACTGAAGCTCTTGCAGCAATGCACGTATATAGTTCTAGAAGCAGTTTGGGGATTTTTGACATCCAAAGAAGTTTTCATACCCATAAAACCTTGGCTAAATAAGCTAAAAGAAAATATAGTAAGAATAGCAGAGTAATATTTGGGTGATCATAGAAAGAGATGCAGACAGAACTGAAGTCATTCGTTTTTAAATCTGAATACACCATGCTCTCAGTCTTTCCATCACACCCACACATAAATCCTTGCAGCCTTTTCACAGCTCTTTCTCAGCTATGTTCTACAAATATTTACTAAACTCCAAATCTCATCACTCGTTGGAAAGGTTACAGTCTGAAGAACATTTCAACACTTAGTGTGGCTGACACATCGAGTCAGAGTCAGTGACTTCTCCAGACAACTTAGTTACAAACAACTTCCATTCTCACCTAATTGCTGTTCCTGACTGCTCAAAAATCATGTTATTAGTTTTATTGATATTTTATTCACTTTCTGGCTTCCAAGTTTGTAGGGTTTCTCACAAGTAAAATTCTCAGAGAACTTTGTGTGTGTGTCTGCATCCCCACAGGTTGCCACTATTCACAGCTATTATACAGGCTGCTGTAAAGGTGGAGGGCATGCTTATGCACCTATGCTCTACCCTTTTAGGGCAGGCCACAAACAAAAAAACAAAGAGAAATACAACACTTGGACTAAGCAGCACCTTGTTCTGGGATTGGATTTCAAAAAGCCACGTTATGCTCCTGCATTTCCTATGCTATGAATGCAGTTAATGTGCACTTGAATAATAGATTTTCAAGAACGTGCTGACTAGGGGCAATATCTAAACTTGTCACTGATGTGCTAAGAAAAGGTCGTGGCTGAGATCTAGCTTGTCTCCTAGACTGATGCCTAGTCATTCTTTGACTTCGTGAATGTTCATTAACGAGGCATCTATTCAAAGAAGGTGAGGAATTTAAAGAAGTGGCAGCTAACACAGAAGTCATGATGAAATGGCATTTGGGTGGCAAGACTCTTCTCAATTCTACTTAGATGGAGCTACATCAATGTAAAGCATAAACATGGAGCGACAGGCCATTTGGGGCTGCAAAAATGGGCAAATAGTTTACTGATTCTCACATGAAATTGTCTCAGCCATACTTATAGATAAACTATAGGTAAGAAACCATAAGAGATGTGGAATAAAAACTTAACACTTGTGTTATGGAGTCTGAAGACATTGACATCTGGTATAGACAGCCCTCTCAGAGGAAGAAAAGCTGAATTTGGTAATTGCATTATTTGTTGCAAACAATTCACTGTTATAACAGCAACAAATGCAGTCTGCAGTGCTGACAGCACTTCTGCAGATGATATCTGTGTCAGAAATAGATAAGGTGCTGAAAGGTAAAGCTCATGCTTCACTGCCTGATGACAACTGTGGATCTAATTGTTCCAATGTGTGCCATCCCCAGCCATCTGTGGTCCTCAAAACACACAGTGGGAGAACACTAAACACAAACTGTGGGCTTCAGAGACAGTACAGAATTATTTGCTTCACTTTTGTTGTCTAAAAAGGCCGTGAAAAAGCAACTTGTATTTTAAAAAACTGTCATTCAAAAGATGAACTGCTGAAGAGGACTACAGTGCTCTACAGATCTCGGAAGTTATTCTGTCCTGCTGCTGACCAGTAAATGTAATACTGTTCAGTGACTTCTTGTGAAGTCAAATTAAGACAATAGAATTCTCTACAGTGAATCCGGTGGGGTCCGCAGCATGTCCTAGGTCTGCCATTTTTCAGGCGAACAGTTGACCTCTGAAGTAGTGTCTAGAGTGCTTATTTTCCTTCACTTTCTTCCCTCTGGAGTAGTCCCACAGCTAAGATCATTTTATTTAGCTCCATTAAAGCTTGTCTTCCCCTATCAATTGTCTGATGGTGCTCTATCAGACTGAAAGCAAGGAAAGCCTTCAGTCTGCAGAGGGTTCAATGGTTCTTTTCTACTTATAAGACTATCAACAGAGCAAGGGTATGACTTTCTTAATGAAGTAAATGCAAGGGTAATACTGTGAAGGTCCTGAGTTTTGAGAGCCATGAAGGAACTTAGTACTGCACAAAGAAGTTCCAGGGATGAAATCTTTCTGGCCCATTTCTGTTCTTTTGACATCCCTCTTTGATAGTTTTAAAAGGTATACCCAAGGAAGGGTATCTCAGAAGAAAGAGATGGGAAAATAGTGTGATTCGTTTTAAACAAGGAAAAAAAAAAGTGTTGTAAGAAGCTAGATCCTAGATGAGCTTGGCTGCGGGAGAAGGCAAGTGGGAGGTAAGGTTTGACAGGAGGAAACAAGTACCGATTCCCCACAAACCCTTCCGCTGATGCATTTACTTTCTACACAGCAGGGGGAACGTGGGATTCGGAGCTGAACAATCTGTGCCAGTTTTCCTCTGCTACAAGTTGCTACCTTCGCGCCTTACATTATTGTCAAACATGAACCCATGTCCCACTTCCGATTTTACATTCAGAAGTTTCCCATCACATCCATCTAAATCCTGCCAGAAATTTGTTTTGTTTCATCTTTTAGGCTTTGTAGATCATTAACCTGAGTTGTCCCTCCCACATCTGCACTTGCAGCAGTCTTTGTCAATGGATGTCAAAGGAGAAGTCTCTGTGTCATTATAGCTCAATCAGCAATATTTAACCAGGGAGGAGAAATAAATATAGAAAGAAATAACTAAATTTATATGGAAAACTTGGCTGTTGTTTTTAGCAAAGTAGTCTGAGAAAATGAAGTATGTAGAGTTGCCTAGCTGAGACTTTAGAAGGCGCATTTTACGTTTGTTTCTAGTTATTTGAAGTTCAAGAGGTGCAGCAGACAGAGCCTCAGTCAAGTGAGCACAGACCCAACAAATATATGGCGAAGTAAAACAGGGCAGTGTTGGTCATATCTCACACAGAGTCAGGTTGGCTTGATTCTTTGTCAGGAATGGTACTGAGGCATAAAAGAGACAATTGATAGAAAAACAAAGGAGCCACTTTTAGAAGTAAACTGAGCACCCCTCACCAGCCATTTCTAATTATCTGGTTTTGTGGCAGACTTTCAGAGCCCTGAGTGTACAACCAAGGTTTCAAAGCAGATTTGGCTTCCCTGCTTATACAGCTCAGTTACATTTTCACAATCACAAGGGCTTTCTTGAATGCGGGGAGTTAGAATCTTGTTGAAAATTGAATCTTGGGGGGGGGGGAATAAAAAAGGCTTCATTTGAGTCCTGCCTGGTCCCTGAGAAACAGCATACTTGGAGTACAGTTCTCTCTTTCTCACCTTGCCCACTGCTATTTCTCCTTTATGGAAAATTTCCATATGCCTTTGAACTACTAGTGTCTTTTCCCCAAAAGGATTTTTTTTTTCCTTGGAAATACCCTGGGCTTTTAAGTTTATTTATTTTTAAATTATTAGAGAGTTTAGGAAACCAAAAATTGGGCTTAGCTTCATCCAGTACAAAAAAAAAAAAAGCAGCACAGCAGCTAAACCCCTCTATGGGAAGCTTCACATTGTTACATGTATTTTGCTCATCCTATGTTCAGATTGCTAGACAGTGAACTATAATAAGGCATGCAGTTATTCTGAAGCAGATCTACTCCCACGCAGCACAACGGCACTCGGCTGAACCCTGAATGTTACATTCCAAATCACAGTGGGGGCTTTTTATGTTGCTTCCACTGATGAACTTCAAAGCCCTCTTTTCTTCCCTACTCTTTTATTTCTATCTGAATTGCTGTAATCTTGTTTGTTCTCATGTTAAACACTTGTTTTCATTGGAAGGGATTTTTTTAGTAACTCTTTTCCGCAAACATCCTAGTGTAAGGATCAAAAAAGTTTAAAAACATGACTAATCCTGTTGGAAAGCAAGGGTATCAATTTTTTGTTTTCCAGTGTGGAATCTAGTAGCTGTCTAACACAAGTAGATACTAAGCTAGTCCAGTTTTACAAATGGGAAGTTAAAACAGCAAAATTAATTTTCTTGTGCCCAGGGCCAAGGCTGGGGTGCTTAGATACCTCCCATTCCACTTCTATAGCGAACACACACGAGAGTGATGTGACCAGCATCACAAACACGTTCACTTTAATATTAAGCGTAAAAAGTTGTGTGTTCATTTACAAAGGCTTCAGCGTCAGTCTGCAGCAGAACTTATGGCTCAGAGTGCACATCAAGACCCTCTGTAATCACTGCCATCAAACTCATAGCAGCATATTTAGTGTAGAGCACCAAGCAGTAAGAGCTAAGGATGTTCCAGTTTTAGTTTCTGCTCACCACCGATGCATTAGAAGTGCGTAGGCTTTTTGTGGATCTTCACTGGAAGAATTTCACAAACCAAGACTGAGTGGTCAAAAATAGAAAATTAATAGCCAAGAGTAACACTTCCCAGCTTCTGCTGGAAGGAGCATACAGGCCCATTTCCCCAGGTAGACACACACATAATTTTCTTCTATTTTAGAAGTCACAACAAAATGCTTCTGTTAAGGAATTTGAGAGGGAGCACAGGCAATGAAACCTTATCACATCACTCCTTCTCTGCGGGCTGAAACCACCAAGTCACGAAGATCCCCCGAATTCCTAAGTTTGATTTCTTTCGTACTACTGAGGAAAGTGATCAACAGGACTGAGCCAAGGTCTTAACGGAACAAAATTCATATTTTACTAGAGAGGTGTCTCATGTCACAACAGAAACAGCTGATATGAGTACACCCATTAGCTCTTAGCACGGTTTGTACTACACTTACTCAGATCTGCTACTTGGAGGACTGCAATGCATTGAGATGACTGATAATGACTTCACTGGACTTTTCCAGGCTCATCTCAAAGGCAGAACGTGGACTTGAACGTAGGTCCACAGTCTCCTTCATTATACACTATTTCATCAGCCCTAAACATTACTGATTAGGGAGCAACCTCTCTGCTGAGCAGCAAGAAGTAACCTTAAAGGACATATCTGAAATTTTGACCAAACACATTTCTTAAATTTGCTCTTTGACTCAAAACAGTGTGAAAGCAGTAATCCAGCTATGGACTTCGCCCCCTCTTTAAACCTCTCAGTCGTGGTGGCTTTGAAGATCATGAAAGAGCTCAGATGCTCAAAGCATCTTAGTAGATTGTCCAGAAAGGGGTCTCATACTTTCAGTATGTGTCAAAAAGACTGTGGAGACAGTTAGCAGGTAAAAAAACTCATCTTGTTCTCCTTCCAGGAAAGTTAAAACTCACTGTCAAGATTCTTGTAATACTGCTTCCAATAAATTTTCCTCATAAATCTGCAGATAAGAGGTTTCTTCACAGTTGTCATTTAGTATCTTTTACTGGCACTAATATTCACTCACTTGCTCTAAAACTAAACAGAGCTGTCACTGAGGTTGGGCTGCTGGCGAGAGACATTGGGAGCAATTTCTTTCCAAAACAACTAATTCCATCTGCTTTCTTTTTCCTTTCCCTGCAGGCACTCGCTATGGCACCAATTCAGGCAACGTGTGTACCACACCTGGATGTGTTACAGCAGGTAATGATTGTCACTATGAATGATTATTGCAGAGGTGACATTCTACATGTTGTTAGTTCTGCTGAAGTTCAGGCTTTAAGACTGAAGAAGTTGAAAAGGAATGAAATTTCCCCTTGGGCTAGATACACATTGCTGTTACTGTCAAAGACAGCAAGTACAGCTGTCCTCAAATACAGTGCCATGTGTAAACACTGAGAAAAAAACAAAAAAAACCCCCACCACTATTCTTCTCCATTATATACTTTCTTTGTCACCAGAGTATCATTCATAAGGAAGTAGTACAGTAAAATTGCCAGCGTGGTCAACAGTTCTCTGGGTCTGGCCTGAGCCACAGGATATGGATTGACCAACACAGTCTGTATCTCCAAAGTATAATAAGAATCCCCTTAGACTGAGTTTTCTCTCAAAGAGAAAGCATTCGCCATATGGGGCTATTCACCTTCTTATTTTTGGCATCTACTTGTACACCTCAAGAGAGGTAAGACTCCAGCACAGATGTTCCCAATTGCCCCCGGGAAACACTGACTTCATGGGTAGGTACCTAAGCTAGGGCCCCAGACAGAGCACTGGGCAGCACACTCGTGCCAGTGAGGGACTTATGCTGTGGGAGAATTATCCTACCGTTTAGAGGCTCCCTCTGTAAAGCAGCACAATAGCAGTGCAAATGTCTGCTGGCAGATGCTTCCTTGCATTTTTAAGCAGGAAATAGGATCCTTTGAGTCATAATAAAGGAGAATGAGTCTTATAAGCAGCATAAGCAGGGTGCCTTCTTGCCAAGCAGTTTCTTGAGTGTCTTTGGTAGTTCTAGAGATTACTGGGCAGTCTGTGGAATTGAACTCTCCCATTTTGATTCCTAGCTGCTAGAATAATTCAGAATATGGACTCAACAGCTGACCCTTGCAAGGATTTCTACCAGTATGCCTGTGGGGGCTGGCTGAACCGGCATGTTATCCCAGAAACTAGCTCCAGATACAGCATTTTTGACATCCTGAGAGACGAACTGGAGATCATCCTAAAAGGTAGGAATGAGGCTACTCTGTCCTTGGTTACGCACTTGTGCTTTAGTTTGAGATATTATTTACTACACATTATACAGAGAAATAAACTTCCAGAGAAGTGTTAATCGTGATTTTTTTAATCTGGTCCTTTAATCTTTATGTTTCTTACTTCACCCATTTTGTGGGAACATCCTGTTCCCACTAAAAATTAGCCATAGGCGATTTGGTACTAACTTCAAAAGGAGCAGGACAAGCAGTATGCCAGTCCTCCTTCCTGATACTTTTTCCATTAATAGCTCCTTTAAAGAGCACTCTAGATTCACAGTAATTGAAGCCTACAGTAACAAGTATTTATCATAGCTCTGAATTCTCAGCAATGTCTATGAAAAGATCAAAGCTCTCCAGGGTAAAATCTCACTGCAATGGTTCCTTCCCCAGGTGTGCTGGAGACTTCAGATCAAGGGGACAGAGAAGCGTTTCAGAAAGCTAAAATACTTTACAAGTCATGCATGAATGAGAGTGAGTCTCTTCTGTTCCATTGATTCTTTTGTTCAATACCAAATGTACACAAGTACCAATGTACTTCTAAGCAAAAGTCCAGTCAATATCTCTCTAATCTGCATGGCCTTGCCTGGAAAGCTAATCTTCGGATGAGTGAAGATGCTTTGGTAAATCGTGAAGGTTTAATATACACATTCTGGGATGCAGAAAGAATGGATATTGGTTACCTACCTCTGGTACCAATGCAAAGCCTTCCCTTCTGAAGGCAGAAGTGTGTCCCATTTCATCCTTCACAAACCGATTCAGTCAAAATTGGTACTGAAGTCAAGAGAAGTATTTTCATTACTTTTCTGGAGACTAATGTAGGAGACAGGTGATTTCCTGGTATCTCTTGTTGTCTGCTATGACAAATTCAGTTTCAGATTTAAACTGTTAGGCCCATTACTTATTTTTCTTCTTTTTTTTTTTCCTATGAGAACAATATAGTATTTGTTTTTCCTCTCTCAGGTCTTATAGAGCAACGAGATTCATTGCCTCTGCTAGAAGCCTTAACAATGGTTGGAGATTGGCCAGTGGCTTCTGCAGACTGGAATAAGACCAAAGGTAATGCTGTGCCTGAAAGACTTCAGTCATGTTAAGTCAAAATTATTTACTGCACTAAGGAGACTACTGTCATTGACTTAGATCCTCAGTTTTAACTTTTTTTCTTCATAAACAAAAGTCGGGTATCATACATTTTAGCACATAGTGATCTGTATAATAAATAATAATAAAATAAATAAAAAATAAGATAGTATAAATTTAATACCCATATAAGATCTCATTCATGAACAGTGTACATTTTAAGACAGTTAGGAAACGTGAAGGACCAACATGAATAACAAAAACAAAAGCAATAGAACCAATATAGCTGTGCTCTAATGCTTGTATATTAATTAGGGTTTGGAGCATAACTGCCTAACTAGGCAAGGTCATGGTGATTTATACAACGCATAGGCAACTACACATATATAAAAATCATTTACCGATTACTTTATATCGGTGAGACAGATAAGGCCAGTAAGAACAGTCTAGCAATTTCTAGCCACTATAGGAATGTCCTGGCCAAATATTCTCACATCATGTCCAGTCTGGTTCTAAACAATTTCAGCAATAAGCATGCAAACTATCAGTCCTCATACATATTGATAACTGATTTGTATTTTCCCTTTTATCTCCCAGAGCCAAACTGGAGCATGGAAGAAAAGCTCTCCATAATGAACTCCAGATTTAACAAACGTGTCCTCATTGACATGTTTGTATGGAATGATGACCGGGATTCCAGCAGACACATCATTTACGTAAGAAAAAAATTGCAGGCAATTATTTATGTGCCAGAATCATAATGGATAGTTATTTACACTGCATACAGATTAGGTTTCCATAAGTGAGTGAGTATGTACAATACTGGCAAAATGTATGCAACAGTTCTGTACCCCAAGTGGCAGATCTCTCTCAAAGTCACATTGGGAAACATTTTATGGTAGCGTAATTTTTGCTTCAGTTAAAGAAATTAAAATCAATGGACCTTTGCTGATTTACAGCATTTGGGGTTGTAAATGCTTGTGACTTGCAAAATGATGGTGAGGTTTAACATATAGCAGGAAACCATGTTTTTAAACCATGTAAATAGTATTTCAGAGTTTGTTCGTATACACTTATGCACGAAGTCTAGCCCTCAAGTCAAGCAACTTCTTTCCTAAGTTGCTTAAATTTATTCCTAGATCTCAATGGTTACTGAAAGATTTTGCCTGTCCTTATCTAGAAATCCAGAGACAGAAGATGTACCTTCCATCTCACCCCAGTTCCTAAAAAGCTAAAGTTCTTTGATTGTTTGGTAAGAGTGTACTATTCTCATTCCAACACTGAAAGGATGGCACATGCAGCATTTCGTGTTGCCTTTCAAGGATACCTTTGGACAGCACCAGTTCCTGTTCATCCCTAACTAAAGAAATGTATGATTTCCTTCAGATTGACCAGCCAAGTTTAGGAATGCCATCCAGGGATTACTACTTTAATGGGGGAAACTATCAAAGAGTAAGTATTCCTTGTAATTTATTTACTATGGGCTAATAAAACTTTATTACTTATCCCTGTGTTTTGGAAAACTCAAATATATGACTCCTCATGTTATGTAACAATCAGACTGTGACATTCATTGCTACATTTTTTTCCTAATTATGCCAAAATCTTGTAAAGTTTACAAAAAGAACTGAACAACTGTATAAATATCAAGCCTTCCCAGAACTGGCCAATTCATACAGATGAGAAAGTTATGGAAAATAAAATCATCGTGTTTATAGCTTAAAACAGTCTCTAATTTGGAAGGATAGGTTCACATTTTTCAGTGCAGGTTATCTTGGGTTTGCCTGTATCTTCTTTTAAAGCCACTGGTTCTGGATACTATTTTACAAGATACTGGAAAGATGGATTATAGATATGGAAGAAGAACTGTCATACTGGATCATATTTGAACATACAATACCCCAAAATACATTTTGTTGAACACCAAAATACTCAGAATTGTTCACGTGTCCATTCAGGGGAAAAAAGTTACAAAATCTAAAAAAAGTGTTTTACATGGAGCAGCAAAAGCTATATCAATAGAACAGATACTCAGCTAGTAAGAATCTGCTGCCACTTACTCCCCCCCTTTCCCAAAATCACATGAAAATGTTAAGAGATTATTTTCTAGATGCTTTTCTCTGCCAATGCTCAGAGCAAAGATGTGAGGGTTTCTGTAAATACATAGAAAGCTGTTGCAAACATAGCCGGATAATTTATCAGTTTCCAAGATGAAAACACTGCTTAGTACATTTTCCACCCCCCCCCCCCCCCCTCAACTATGTCATACTAACAAAGAGTATTTGCAGCCTAACATCAAACTAATTTTCCTAACACGAATGGAAGGGAATACAGAGAGACAACAATCGGCATTTTAGACTCTTTTGTCTGATGGTTGTAAAGGCAGATGGAAACATGAGTGAGACTAGCTTTCTTCTTACTTCGATGTATTTGACTCTATCCTCATATATAATATAGTCTAAAATATAGTCCCATGACATTTTTATGAGATTGTTTCCACACCTTCTGGACACCTTTATAAACCGCCAATTTCTGTTCATCTGTCTCATGATACAAAACAACCTCCATGTAGCTGCGCTGGGAACTGCAGATAGCTGCTGGAACTAGGATTCTGTTCTCCAAGTTTCACCTATATAGTGGCAGTTACAGTAGAAAAGAGGGACATTTATACATCACTGCATGAAAATCAGACTTAGATTGACTTGTAGGAGGTAGAAAATCAGGTACAGTACATAGAGAATCCTAAATTAGCAAAAGAAAACCAGTACTACTTAATACAGTTTTAATTTGAAGCTATAAAGAAGAAGGGCTAAAGCTGTGTTTTTAATCTTAATGAATAAGGAAGAGACACAACCCCTTTTTATTTGCTATTTACCAGCTCACTTCCCACAGACAATGAACCAAACTCTGATGACCCAAACTCCCCCTGTGCTTAGTCCAGCATCTTTTGGCAAAACTCATACTGAGGCCTGTGGGAGTCTGGCCTGATTAATGCCTCAGCATTCAGCCTAAAAAACACAAATCATCATCATGTAAGTGCCCAGACTCAATTTCACAACAGTTCCTGTATTTATCTAGTTTCCAAGGTCTATGAAGGAAGAAAAGTATGCAAGAAGAATAGGTAGTATTAAGCTTTCCTGCATCAGAGATCAGCACTCCCTCAGCAGCCAAGTATCTTTTCAAGGTCCATTCTGAGGCATAAATTACAGCCATACTCTGCTATTAGAAATAAAGCAAAGGTATCACTAGGAACTATCTGAGACAGAACTTTTCTTTCAGACAGTAAAAGCAGAGAGTTTACAAGACTTCTGGTATTAATTTAAGAGAACTTAAACCTTCCATGTTTACCCTGGTACTTTGGCTAGCAGGGATCACTATTCCCACAGTGTAACTCAAAGCACAGAGCTTTCTCTTTGCTCAAGTGGTAATTCTAATCCAGAATGCCAGAGAGTTGAATTGCACAGGGAAGCAGAAAGTGTTGCTTGCACTGTGTATTTTGAGACTGGCAACTGCACTGCAAGGTATTGCAGGATGAACTGAGGTCCTAGGTATTACAGCAGTATCTATTATAGTAGAAAAAAAGATGATAAAAATGGAGTGAGGATGGTGGCATTGGAGACAAGGGCAGAGGCTGTGGCCCCCGGGCCAAACTTCTTCACAGCACACTGTGAGGCTAAAGTAACAAAAAGAATGGTTTGCTGAATGAGAAGTGATAGACAGCAAATCTTTTCACAATGCTACGCGTGTTCTGTTTCTTGCGTGCAGGTGAGAGAAGCTTACCTGCAGTTCATGATCACTATTGCCAAAATGATCCGGGAAGACAAGAATGTGTCTAAAGACGATTCCTTTGTCCAAGAGGAAATGGCAAAGGTTATGGAGCTTGAAACAGAGATTGCAAATGTGAGTACAGCAATCAAGAACTTCTCAGGATGTTGGGGAGAGCAAGGGGTGAGAGTCTTTTGTGCAGCAGTTTTCAACACAGCAGAAAATTCATGGCCTAGAAGAAAGCAGGGGGAAGACGACTTGTTGTGTCATGAGCAGCCCAGAAAACAGAGCCTCTGTGTGTGTAATTATGTCTACTGTATACACTGCTGCTGTGTCTGCTCTAGTCCTAGCCATATTTATTTTTGTAAGTCTCCTAAAGCAGGATAATCTATCTTCTGCTAAAGGTACACTATGATAACAGCAGGGCTAGCTCCCTTGCATCCTTAGAAGTCTATAGCACTCAAAAAAAAAAGCTGTCTTCCATTCTAAAGAGGATAGAGGGAACCACTTGGCTCAACATGTTGCTGAAACATTATTGAATCAGGGGGGCCCAAGTTCCATTCCTGAAATGTCATGTAATGTTAGAAAGCAGTACTGGACACCATCAAATGAGCTTTCATTTCCAAAATAAACTGTTTTATTCACGTATTATTTGAGTGTGTATATGTGCATGCATGCAATTTCAGCCATTGACACTCATGTCAGTTGATTGTAGTAATGACCTTGTGAATGTCTTCAGGCAACTACCCCAGCAGAAGAAAGGCATGATGTAACCTTGTTGTACAACAAAATGACCTTAAAAGAGCTGCAGGAGAAGTTTGCATTGAATGTAAGTGTTTAATGAGCAGTCTAATACTTTCAGCCTCCTCTTACTACCCTGCCAATTGGAAATGGCTTTGTGAATTTATCAGTGATGCAACAAATAGAGGTATAAAATCATTCCCATTCTTAATCTTGTCTTCAGAGGCTCTTAAAAAGCATTGTTCTACTGAACAACACTACAGCTACATTCAATCCCATAGACTGTATGAAGTCCAGACAGTTACTAAGGCACTTAAACTCCTGGCATTGGTATATGTCTTTCTGTCTGCCTAGGAATTTAACTGGACCTTCTTCATCCAAGGTGTCATGTCTTCAGTGAGTGTTCAGGTTGACCCAGAAGAAGAGGTTGTTGTCTATGGCATGCCCTATCTGCAAGAGCTGAAAGCAATTATCTCAAAGTACTCAGCAAGGTAAAGAAACTAGAGAATATCAAAGACAAAAGTTATGGAAGTATTGTGGAAATGGAAATTATTGGGCCCACTTGCTAGTTCTGCCAGAGCTTCTCTGAGAAAAGTGACACCACTTCACTGTAAAATATGAGTCATGTTTTCTAAGGTCCTAGGGTCCCAAAGTACTGTGGTACTAGGTGTCTCACCTGCTCACACGCTTAGAAAAGGTTGAATAGGAAAAAAAAAAAAAATGTCACAGGCTTAGCTCTTGTTACGCTCTAGAAGGGAAGAAAAATAATAAATGAATCCCTGAACAGACTTGGTAGCACAGTCCTCGGTCTGGATGCCTCTACAGTTAGCATCTACAGGTGACTGTTTGTACTTAACAGGCTGGCTATGAAACTGATGACTGGCAGCAACCAGTTGCTTTCTTACCTCCCCTCAAAATTAAGTTCCCCCTCTGACTGTCTGCACTAGTGTTGCTTTTTACAGGGGATTAAACTCAGCTTTGCTTTCCCCCACAGCACCATCCAGAACTACCTCATTTGGCGACTGGTAATTGATCGAGTCAGCAGCTTGAGTCGGCGTTTCAAGGATGCTCGGGCCAGCTACAGGAAGGTATTTCCTCTCTTCTTAAAGAGACTAGCACATAGTGCTGGAAGAGAGTCCTGCAGTCACCAGAAAGTCCTTGTCAATACAATGACATTATTATGTCATGTAATCCCCAAACAAATCTAAGAACAGCAATCGCAACAAGAGAAACTTTTGTCTTAGGTTAACCTCCTCTTTAGGCAATGATTTACAAAGAGATGTGTAGGCAGAATTAATCCTGTGGTGGTTTGCATCGCAGGCACTTTATGGGACAACACTGGAAGAAGCCCGCTGGAGGGAGTGCGTGAGTTATGTCAACAACAACATGGAGAATGCAGTGGGAGCAATGTACGTCAGGGAGACTTTTGCTGGTGAGAGCAAGAGGATGGTATGTAGTTTACCCTTCATACTATTGTACATCCACAGTGTCTGCAGTGCCTGTTCCCCTCCATCTGATCTCCCAGCCTATTTTATCTGTTAAAGATATCAGTCAGCCAAGAGTCAGAAGGCATAAGAACTCATTTATGATGCTCTTTTAAATGCTGATTACCATGTTTTAAAGCATAGAATTTGGGGACATCATCTTTCAGTCGGAAGCTTTTCACCTCTACTTAGCTGTGCCTGAGAAAAATAGCATTTAAAGGATTAATTTCTTACTGCCTCTCTTTTAGGTCCGAGATTTAATAGATAAGATTCGTGAAGTGTTCATTGAGACTTTAGATGAGTTACAGTGGATGGATGAGGCATCTAAAGAGAAGGCTCGTGAGAAGGTCAGAGATAGAGAACTTCAATATTCTGTCATGAATATGAAATCTTTGGAATTTTGTAGCATCACTATTCCCAGTTCCTTTACAAATGAGAGGAAAAGACTTTTGATATTCACTATCCTGTTATCTGTTATTCTATTACACTGTCCATTTCTTTTTAATCCTTTGTTAGCTCAGATACATTTTTTATTTCCTTTAATGAGTCCTGAGGAGAGAAGATGGCACCCAATGCATCAACTAGAATGACAACTGAATACAATGCAGTCCCCTGAAGAAAACTTTTCATTGACTTTAGGACCACCAGCACTGTTCCAATAGCAAGGAAGAAAAAAAAAAATACTAGATGAGGGTTAAGCCCAGTCCCTGTTGGATTGTGCTGTAGGGTCTGCAAGTCTACCATAGTGGCTGGACACCAGATGAGGGGAAGACTAAGTTCCATATTAAAAAAAACAACCAAAACAAAACACACCTCATCGTCTCACTAGGCAATAGGGTGTGTTTGAACAAGGTCTTTAAATATTTGCATTCAGTTTCTCACAAACAGGTGGATAATAGCAATAAAGAATTTGAACTATTGTATGTATTGAAACTTTAAAAAAACCAAACAAAAACCACCCCACAATTAAGATGAAACATTAAACTCTCTTCTTTTAGGCAATGGCAATTAAAGAACAAATTGGCTATCCAGATTACATTTTGGAAGATCAGAATGAAAAACTAGATCAGGAATATGCCAATGTAAGTATGCAGTGCATACCTCAGTAAGTACCAGAGTATAAAAGCCTACACTTATTTTCTTGCCACTTGTCCAAGTGACTGGACAGCATACAAACTTGACTGCATTGAACGTATTATAAATAAATGTATGCAAAGAGCTAACTATTAAGTGATACCTTGCAATCAAAACATTTTTAGAAGATACATCCAGTGGCATGAGGAACTCCTCTTTCCACACAGCTTACTAATATACTTGGATATCTGTTTCTTTAGTTAAACTTCAGTGAATACAATTACTTTGAAAACATTCTGGAAAACCTGAGAGCTGGAGCCCAAAAGAGCCTGAAAAAACTTCGAGAGAGAGTTGACCAAGACATGTAAGTTACCAGGCTGCATGCTACAGACAATCTAAATTCTGAAATAAGGGTTATTGTGTTTAAGTCATATGCTGTGGACAGGCGAGAACACTTATGTCTGAGATCTGCCAAGTTACTTCCTGGAATTAAACAAGTATTCATTGACTCCTGTGGTAGGAATTAATCCAGTTTTTTGGAATCTCTCTAATCCTTCATCAAGCTGCTTCACATTCAGATATTACGTTGAAGCTACTTAACACTAAAGCAGTGACAGATCTTTCTGACAACTCAGCAAGGAGGAAGCAAGATAAGCAATATCATGGAACTTCTAAAAATTGATAATCAGGGGAAAAAAAGCTTAAGATATTCTGGCAGAATTCTGCTGGAAATGTGCCCAGTCTTGGGGAAGTTGAGCACCAGATCTAATTTATGTCCATTTCCAGCAGATTACTTCACACTGCGCCTAGTAAAGTACAAACGTGTTTTTCAGGAAGTGCCTGCCATAGGTGCAGGCTTGGCTGCTTCATGATCCCTTCTTTGACTCCTTGAATGCATCTTGAGTAAGTCTCAGGCCTTAGCCTGCATTGCCCTCGCTGTTACCTTGCAGTTCTCTATTCTTAGGCAAATCCTCAGCTAGTGCTAGGCTTAAAACAACCAAAAAGTAGCATGTTCATAAATTGTTACTGACAGCTCCGAGGTGAGCAGTTGGCATCACTAACCAGTAAGGAGCATTGCTACACAACATCACCAGGATGACCCCTCTAGTCCTTCAAGTGCAGTGGAGCTCCTGCCAAGTCCATGACATGGATACATCCCAGAAGCCCTGGCTTTCATGTTCAGCAACAAATGCCTTGGAATATGACCCGATTTCCAGAGCTATGAGCTAGCCAATCCGAACTTTTAGTAGTCCAGTTAACTGTGTTGCAGGTGTCTAGCTCAGGAAGCTGCCTGGCAAAACTGTTGCTGAATACATTAGTGACAGGTGCACTGTAATGGAAGGCAGAAGTAAGGATGCTAATACCAACCTGATGTAAGGCTTCCAGGCTGTGCAATGCTGGAAGAGAATGTCTTGAGACAAAGGAAAGTAGATTCCAATAAGAATTTCAAACACCTCTTCACAAAATGTAAAATAACAGTTATTAATAAGCAAGCAAACAAAAGCCCTCCAAAGGGAAGCATTAGTCAAATTAATTGTTGCAAAGCCTATTCATTTTTTCTATCCCTCTTCCTATGAAGTGGTTTTAACTCAAACTGCGAGCACACAATGCAGACACTCAGAAACCTCCAGTGAATTACTGATGAATAATTCACCAAGGGAGATTTCTGATCAGTCAGCTAAATACCAGAGCATTTTTTTCCCTGTTTCCTCCTTTCTTGAGGAATCGATCATGGTGCTCTTCATAGCAAGAATTCTTGTACACCACTGGTGTTCTTAATCCACAAACTGTGTTATAGATCACTGCTGCCTTTTACGGTCTGCCTACAGAGACAGATGGTAGCCCTCTAGCCAAAATTCCCAATACCTCTGCTCATCTTAGGTATGGTTTAAAGCACGTTTGTGGGAACCTTTTCATGGTTTCATGAGTTATGCCTTCTTTGCCTGGTAGTTTGACAATATATGAAATACAAATAATTTGCGCTTTTTCCATGTAACAAACAACATCTTTCTAGTGATGTCTCTCCAGTAGCTTGAAGGGTTTCCCCAAGGAGACAAACCCACTTATCGCTCCAGATCATTGTTTAATTAAACTGAAGGAGAGTATATAATTAATATTGCTGATATTATTAGCTAATCATTGCAGTTAAGAAAATTAGCCATTGTTCATGATCATAGCCTTCTTGGGGGGAATGGGGTGGGGGGGGTTAGTTATTACAAGCTACCTGGCCAGCTACAAATATTTCATGTCAGACATGCCAAGGAGAAGCTTATGGACCAAGAATGCATTTTCACAACAGACTGGCCTTCAGAACAAAACTGTTTTGAAAAATTCTCAAGTACTCCCCCAAATTCAGGAACAGATCCGTGCTCCCTCTCTATGCATGTGTTACATCCAGGTTAGCGGCAATATCAGCACAACCCATTTCTACCACTTATTCCTGTTCCCAGGCTGGGATGAGCAGTCCTCTCTATTCTGTTAGTCCAGAACAACCAGCTTTTCAAAAACTGAAAGATTAAACATGTGCTGTATTTCTTAAGCAGAAAATTGGATTCCATTCCAAAGCAGCCCACAAGCAGTTATGTCAAAGTAACAGCAGATACAGCAACTAGCGCATCACGAGATACTATAAGGACGAGAGGTGCGGGAAGAAGAATATCTTAGGCTGATGCTGCTGAATACTTATCATAAGCTCATAGCTTCAGACTGATATTGCATGGTTCATGAGAGCAAGGTGACTAGAAATGTATGTCAGAGGTGGAAGAGAAAGAAATACAAAGAATAAAGAGTTATCAAGCTATTGGAAAGTTTCCAGAAGTAGCCTACTTCAAAATTACTTCTCAAAGTTAATACTCATTATCTATGAAATACTGGACTCCAAATGCAGACATTTATGTGTCTGACTGTGATTATTCAGTTTTAATTTTTCAAAGTTTGGTCTTAACTTGCAATTTGAGTAACTGCCTTCTGCTGCTCAAAATGTCCTCTAAATGCTTATTTTTTTTTGAATGCAAACTATTCATTTCTTCTCAAACTTAGATAGCGTTAAGATGAGCTGGTAAATGGTTACCACATTCCACCCCAGTGTGGCTGTTGCACATTCAAGAGCAAAAGCATTTCTCAGTTTAACTTGTCATTGTTTTGGATGAAAGGTGCCCATAAATGAGACACCAGTTATTTCCTGGTATTAGTATTTCTTTACAGCTGTGTTCAGCAGCACCCTTCTTCCTTACTTCAGTCCTTTCCTTATACGTAGCCTGTGTTTTTTTAACCTTAACAGCTCAATGAAAAAGAATGTCTAAAAAAAAATCATGACTAACTGTGTGCAACATTTATTTTTAGATGGATAATTGGAGCTGCAGTGGTCAATGCATTCTATTCCCCCAATCGGAACCAGATAGGTAGGTTTACAACAGTTTTAAACAGCTGCATGGAACTAATTAATCATTTTTTGCACCACAAGGGTGCAAGTCTGCTATCCAGAGGCAAACCGACCTGTGCCCTTATGGAAATTCTGGGCAAGGTAGACAGGCTGCTCTTTTCAAGCAGTGGCTTTGTTGATGAATATTCAGCTCCCCCCTCCCCGCCCCACCCTTGGCAGGCGTAGTTTATATACTGTAATTGGAACGGCCTTATGTTTGAAAGCCTGAGACAGTAACTGCTACTATATGAGTGCCAGCTTCAGAGACCAGAGAATGCTCACAGTGTGTTCTGGGCTGTTTGTACTCATGTTTCCACATTCCTCATAGCAAACTGGAGAGCTGCCTATATGGTTATCTGTACAGATGGTACTGAAATTGTATTGATAAGAGGCATACCAGACTAAAGAAACCTGCCTCTGCTTACAGAATGTCAGCTCTGCAACGTTTTGCAGAGTTGCTAGGCTGACCTTTCTTGTTCTTAGCAGAGAAGAAGATCTTCCAACTTAAGGCATAGCAAACCTGTCTGGCTCCCCATGCTCCCTGAGCTCTGAGCTGGCGCAGGTGGCCAGAAGTTCAGATTGAGCCTGCAGGTGCTGTAGAGCCCTTGCTGAATTCTGAGCACCCCAAACAGCAGAGGAACCAAATAAATTCTACTAAGTAGTGCTTATTCAAATTCCCAGACTGCCAAGAAGATCTACTATACAAGCACTGCCAAATACTGTCAGAGGAAAAAATCTGTGCCTTTTTTAGGCCAGACAGCAACTGTATCCTGCTCACAGGGCAAAGGCCAGAAATGGAAAACAACCCACCCACCCAGCCATCACAAGGGAAAACTTAATTGCTAAAAGCAGAAACATCCAAAGTGCTCATAATTTAGCCCTCTAGCCTCATCAGAGAGAGCTGTTTTCTACTGTGTAGCTTCCACTTACCTCCATAGTGTGGGTACAGTAAAAGCTGTGACCAGTCCTTCAGCCGTAGCAGGGTACCCCTTTAGCTTGCCAGCACATACCATCCAAGAGCTCTACTCATAGGCAAGCTCAGGCTCCCTATTTATCCCCTGTGGTTTTATGCTGATTCTAATCAGCTGTGAGCCAGCTTTCCAGGCAGGGAACTCAGGTCTTAAAGAAGACTGGTTCCTCTACAACTTGGCCCTTAGAAGTAATATGGAAGTAACTGGTTTAAGCAACTTGAAGATGACTATGCAAGCCAAAAATCCAAGCATAACTACCCACAATAGTGTAATGTCAGTTAAATCCTGTTTCTTCCTGTCTCTAGTTTGAGGAAAATCATTTTCCATACTACTTTTTGTTTCCTGCTTCTGTCTTATATCTCTCTCCCCAAAATTGTATGGATAAAACCTTCTATATAGTCAAAAAGGTTTTTGTCTCTACATGAAACATTTGCTATGTAATTTCAGTAACTCCTTAGAAAGTATCTTATGAGGATTAATTGCTTGGAGTCTTAATTCCCCCAGAAGTATATATGCATGTCATCTTATGTACGTGGGATAAAGACCAAATCCCATTGATTCTATATAAGGCTTTTGCCAGTAGACTGGAGAAGGACAGACCTCCTACTGCCCCCGAGACTGGCATCCAAGTGCACTTGGTGCTCTGTAGGAATTACTGCTGTGCGTGTTTTACACACTGAGTATTGTTGGTAATCAGCATATGATTGCTAACCTTTCTTTAACAAAAACAAAGCAATAAAACATCCATTAGTTCCCCTATAAAATGGCTCTAAAACACAAACTGTACTTATCTCCAAAAGACAGTTACTAAACATTTTGTTCTTGACTTACTGCAGCACACATTATAGACCAAATTAGGCTAAAGTTGAAATGTAAATGATGCTTGGTTCTCAAACAAGGAGATATTGTAGTTGCAGATGTGCTAAATTAAACCTTTATTAAGTTGTCATTTTCCGTTTATCAAGAGAAACAATTTCACATGAGGAGGCATGATGTTGTTTCTAATCACTTTATATTTTATGTTCCTTCCTGATCCTTAAACCAAGCAAACAATCTGTCTGCAAAGTATGCAAAAATAAAGCTACCTTACAGTATCTCCCTCTCTCTTCCCTTCTTTGCAGTTTTTCCTGCCGGGATTCTACAGCCCCCCTTCTTCAGCAAACACCAACCACAAGCCCTGAACTTCGGAGGGATCGGGATGGTTATTGGGCATGAAATTACTCATGGGTTTGATGACAATGGTGAGAAGATAACTGAGAAAATATTACTCTTCCAGTTGCTCTCATTGCACTGTAAGAAAGGACAGCTACACGCTGCAGTGACTGAAGCAGCCGTGCACACCATCACGCACCCGCCCAGTCACTGTCTGGGAGCACCACGGGCGCACTGTGAATGTTCTGGTGAACGCTTTGCAGTGAGCGTTCCTGAACTAAGCAGGTCACACGAGAAGAAAGCAGATGTTAAAAATAAATTGAGGTAATGACAATTCTCAGGAAAAGCTGTTACTTTTACAGCATCGTCAGATTGGAAATACAATGCAAGCAGGTACACTGGCTCCTAAAGTAAAATGAAATCCATGAACTACGTTCTTGGGATAGAAGAGCTGTCAGTAGTGTCTTGAAATCACAGGAGCATGCTTTTTATTTGCTATGGATCTAGATTTCCGAGGCTGTATTGTGTGCTTATGTGTAATCTGCACAAACTTAATTAACATAACACCAACACACTGAAGAAAACCCATGTATAAGAAATAAAAAGCATGCTCGAGCCAGAGAGCTGAGAACACAAACACCAGAACTGCAATTTCAGCTTTTTCCTGCTGTGGCAAAGTCATTAATTCTCCATGAACCTCAGTTTTGTCACATGGACACACAGCATAAGCACTTAAGACACCTCAGAGGTGGGGATAAGTTTTGTTACATGATCTCTGTATAATCCAGTTTGAAATAAAACTAGGCCTTAGTGCTATAACTAAATTCAGGGCTGCTGACTGAACAGGAAATCACGGAATAATAGGGAATAGAGATGAAATGACTGCAATTGACCTTGTTCATTCCCTTGTGCCAAAGGAGAATCAACTGTGCCAAAAACATTTCTGATAAATCTCTGTAGCACAGACCATCTCAATCAAAGGAGGAAGAGGGGAGGAAATGCAGCTCTAACATTAAAAAGAAACGGGTGCTACACTGGAAGAACGGTTGCTCTAACATACTCTCACTCAAAACTTTCCTTTTTTCTTGGATTTTCATACAGGCAGGAATTTTGATAAAGATGGAAATATGCTTGACTGGTGGAGCAATTTCTCAGCTATGCATTTCAAGGAGCAGTCTCATTGCATGGTTTATCAGTATGGGAACTACACATGGGAGCTGGCTGGAGGACAAAATGTAAGTAAAAACAACCATTTCCACACCACTGGCTTTTTATACGGAAAAATAATGAATGTAAATGGAGAGTCTCTACAGACGATAAGCATAAAACCCCATATGCTACAGGATAATTGTTCTGGAAGTAAGATACAAGGGTTGTTTCTTGGCAATTAGGGATACTAGTGTAGCCTAGAAAACCAGCAATATCTGTGTGCACTTGGGTTGATGGTGAACTGGGCCCACGTTTGCTTTTGCTGCCAGACCCCGTGAGGTGTTTTTTGCAAGGGAGAGGGAAATCTGGTGTTTGCTACTGTATTTTGCCGGTCCTGCTAGCATCTGTTCTGCCCAGCAGCCCATAGTCTGTTCATGTTATATTCGTATATATTCTCTCTATTCTAATCTACAGCTTTTACTCTATTAATTTTTTATTTTCATTCTCTCCTTTCTTTGCCCCAGCACAAAGTCACTGCTTCCTTCTGTTCCAGACATGACTGTCTGTGATGCATGACTGTGCTTCAGCTGGAGGTTCTTAGGGTTGCTGATGTTACTGACTATAGAGTAAATGAATGATTATTCTTTTACAGGTCAGTGGAATAAGCACATTAGGAGAAAATATTGCAGATAATGGAGGAGTCCGACAGGCTTATAAGGTAACTTCCAAATATAGTGCGAGTTAACTTTACCCCTGGGATGCAGTAATGGGGTTAACCTATTCTGTCATTAAAAAATTGACAATTAACATGTTATTACCGTATTCAAAAACTTAAAGCCGCAATTATATATCTAGAAGCTTATGTCCCCATAGATCCAATCACAGTGTAGGATTGCTGGCATTCTTGCACCCAGGAGAAGACCACCTAATTCTCCTAGCTATACTTCGATGTACTGCAATGCTTGATGCTGCACACTTCTGTCTCAGGTAAACAAGGGCAATGTTCATAAACAGGCACGGTATTAGCAAGGAAAAAGGTAAAACACCCTCCATTTTCTAAAGCCCTTAATTCTGAAAATGGCAGCTGCAACTTCAAACAGCTTGTCACACAGCAAAGAGCACTGATTTCTTTGCAACACAGTTTGGTGATATTATGAAGCAGAACAAGTGTTTTTTCCAAGTTTATTTCTCTCACACTTTTCATCTTTGATCTCGAAAGCGGTACGTCAGGTAGGACATGAAAAGAATAGATGGAAATACCGTCTCTTTCCCAAGGATACAGATCATATCTACCAAAATACCTGTCTCTAAAAGCCTAGCTCCTTTTGTTGCTTTCTTTATGTGTTTTATAAGCTTTAGGAAAATAACACAAAGAAGTCCCTTCTACCTTGCTGCTAGTTATTTTTCATGCAGCTAGAAAGCAGAATAAAAATGCAAGGATTGATAATCTCAGACCTGCCTGCCTCTTTCCAAGGTAAAAGGTTGCTTCAACCAGTCAGTTATTTTCAAGAGAAGAGAAATGCAACTGGTATTTCAGAGCACTGCCTCCATGCTGTGGCTGAAAAATGATGTTGTTCAGCATGGTTTTATCTGTTACAAACACTCTTGCGTGTTGCCTTACTTCTCCTGCTCTAGCAGGGGAAGTCACTTCCAGAGTCAGGGAAGTCCAGTACCTTTAATCCTCCAGGTTTACACACCGTTGTTATGAATAGGAACACAGTATTTATCAGCACAAAGGCTCTTCCCATATGGAGCTCAGGTGTGCGCATGGAATGTTCCTTTCCACGCATAATCCTAACAGATGCCATGATAAAACTTTCCATCTCTGGCATTTTGAATATGGCAACAGTTAAGGGTGTTTACAGAAGAACATTCTGAATTTGCAGAAATCTAAACTGACGATTCTGACTCCGAGAGATACCATTAAAATTAATTACTTCATTAAAGTGAATATGTACTTCATTCTAAAAGCTATTATGAATGTGGAAGAGTAGTGTGGTATGACATAAACTGCCTGCACACAGAACCCTTTCATGTTCGGTGGTGCTGAATGTATTTTTACCCTCAGCTCTACCTTTTGTGTTTTGCGTGCTTTGGGACTATCTCGGCAACGAAGAGGATAAGGTAACGGAACGTTTGGAATTAACCATCATGAGGACACATTAACTTGTCTCCATTATGTCAATATACCTAAAAAAAGAAAATTGGCCAATTAATGTGTAACAATAACAGGTAATGGATTTAACATTGAGCAAGGTTATTATCTGCTATTTTATGAGCAGTTACCTGAAGAGATAAAAATCATCACCATAGAACTGTGGAGAAGACTTAACGCTTTGTTTACAGATACCAATTCCTATAGAAAGAGTCATGTGAAACCTGATGATTTTACTTCAAACTTCAGTCACGGGCGTTCAGTCTCCACAGCATTGTTGATTTAATACGCATCCCCAGCTATACTTAAATATGATATTAGCAGTCCCACTTTGTCATCCTTGCTCGCTGAGCCCCCATAGCAAAGTAATGGTCCGTCGGAGTCGCGGCATACCTTTCGCTGAAACGGTGTGCCCCATCTTGCTGAAGAAATTCAGAACAGATCTCCAAGTGACTCGGTAAAGAACACGCAAAGCTTCTTGCAGTGAAGGTCAGCTGGCCAGCAATAACTGCTACTCTAAAACTCCGCTTCCATATAAGAGTTTGCTATTTTTTTCCTGTTTTGTAACAGTTTTCAGTTCAGAGATTACTGTACCTAAGGAGCCGAATGCAAATTATCTTTGCGTTTCATTTTTTTACTAGAAAAGTCAACAGAGTACTTACGTTGACAGCTTTTTCATAAAATTGGCAGTACTATTTGTATTAGATAAAAACTACAAAAATACAGAAGGGGAGACATGTTGGGTTCATACACACTGTGACTAAAATCTCTCACCCCAAAATAACATTGAAAATACCCATCATTCCTGAATAGGCCATCCTGCTGCTTCTCTGCATTGAATCTGTGATCATTTCTAGGCCTACTTAAAATGGCTGGAACGGGAGGGGAAGGAGCCAAAGTTGCCTGGACTGAATCTGTCCCACAAACAGCTTTTCTTCCTCAACTTTGCCCAGGTAAGAACACTGGGATGCAGCCACTACACGCTGCACGAAAGCATACATTAGGTGATCCTAAAGGTTAGAGAGAAAATCAGTCCCAAGCTCTGCTTGGGACAGTGATTCACCATTGACCGTGCTCATCAAAAGGTCCTCAGGACAGACGTGGAAACGGCGGCTTAGTGATGAGAGGAAGGAGTTTTCAGGAACTTTTCTGAGGGCAGTACTGAAACCTGCTGGGGTGAGGATCCAGAGAACCAGGGCATCTGCCACCCAAAGGCGTGGCAGACAACTTACAGGGGACAACAACTTTCAAGAGCTTGCCACTTCATGGATCATTTCATGTTCCACTAACATTTATGAGAAAACTCCTCTTGCTTTCAATACAACAGGGTTTCAGCCATTTTTTAACATGTGCTGGGGAAAACTGAATGCCTGAGCAATACCAAGCCAGCAGCCCTGAACCAGGAATACATGGTCAGATCACAGAGTTTGCTACAGATTCCACTTATTTCCCTCTATACCACTTTATTACAATGCAGAAACAATAAGTCTGCTGAGTTGAATTTCACCCTTCAGCCTGGATGAGAAACTCCCGAATGTTTACACTCTCAGAGTAACAAATATTTAACAGCAGGTCAAATATTTGACAGTAGGCCAACGCACTTAGTGTTGTGCCTCAGACTCGGACTTCGGCTCATCTGTTTGAGGAACCATGTGTGAAATCAAGAGCTAATATATCTATCCCAAAGCATCAGATCTTGATCCAAGAACTTGATGAAACAAAAACTAATTAGTAAATAATTGTATCTGTTCTGCCTCCTCTGTAAAACTATATTGTAACAAATTGGGATGGCTCTTAGGAACAGCTTTGAAAACAGTGAGAAGGTCCCCAAACTGAATTCCCTTTAATACCGACCCACTAATGATTAATCCTCCTTGTCTAGGTTTGGTGTGGCTCCTACAGACCAGAGTACGCTAGCCAGTCAATAAAGACAGATGTTCACAGCCCTCTGAAATACAGGTGGGTTTTACGAACTGATTTACTAATCAATAACTTACTTGGTTCAACCCACTGCAGCAATACAGCACAAAAGGAGAGAGTGGATCATTGCTAGCAGTTATATTCTAACAGAAAAGATAAGTCTAGACTGCCTTTCAGCATTTTCCCCATAGCTTGTAGGACGCTGCTGAAGAGTACGTTCCTTTACTCGGCCGGGTAAATTTGCCAATCTACAGAGAACGGAGCAGAACGCAGTTACTATGTGCTCTGTTCTAGCATTTCACCAGTCATATTAGCTATAGTTTTCTTGCATAAAGGATCCCATAGTCTGAGACTAATTGAGTTATGAGACCCTAAATCACTTTAGGGACGTGGCTTTCCGTTTTCCAGAGCAACAATCTCCACGCACTGTATCGATGTAAATAAGTTCCTTCTCTTTGTTTAGGGTGATGGGATCGTTGCAGAACTTTGAAGCGTTCTCAGAGGTGTTCCACTGTAAAAAAGGCACAGCCATGCATCCTGCAGAGAAATGCAGAGTCTGGTAACCAAAAAGAACACTGGCGAGAAGGACGCATGCTCTGGTGACACGACAGTTCTTGCCAGTGACGTGCCTGATGTTCTCCCATTCAGCCACAGCCAAGGCGAACGGTGCAGCTACTGCAGTGAGAACCAAGGAAAGCACAGCGCTCCAGCTCCTGCCGCCCCGCCGGGACGTACGCAGGTATCTCGGTGACTGGTGGGCTCTGCTGAAAGCCACGGTGTGCTCCAGAACAGGAATGACTGTTCCCCATGACGTCCTGACTGTTATGAAGATGCCGCATCAGGGTTACAAAGACTGATTCTTAAATAAAAAACAAAACCAACAAACAACTATATATCTATTTTTCAGAAAGGAACAATAATTTTAATATGTCTTACAGCTACGCCTTCTGAGACTCAGCAAACCTGTTTGAGACGTTTCACTGAACTGTTTTCCAGTATTCTGATTCCGTTTCTGGTGCATTCTTCCCAAATTCAGGTTAGAGCTAGTGTAACCTCTCCTGCTGTCTGTGTACTTGCACTTTGGTTACTGCTTTGTTGTAAAAGATTGCGATTTGTCTTGCTGCGTTACCAAGCGAGCTGTATGTCACGATGCCCGTCGGCTGTGAACGTCATGCGAAGCTGCGCTCTCCTACCGCACTTGAGTTCCTCTGCTCCAAAGACCAACTGTAACATGACCTTAAAGGGAGGTATCGCTAGGCAGAAAGATCACATTTTTAGGAGTACAAATTCTGTTGTTATGGTTAAAATTACAGGGTCCCTCCCTTCAGAGGTATATTTAAAATGATGCTTATTCTTGTAGAAGGTGTATAAAATACTTTTTGCCGAATAGCGAACATGTATCCATGGAAACAATTAAGCTGTTTTTAATCCTGTGCCTTTTCATTTCGCCATAGCATTACTTTTTAATAAAAAAACCAAACAAACACGGTAGCCAATTCAGCAAGCATTTTACTCTCGAGAGTTTTGGGTGGCTTTCCTCAGTAAGCGTTCTAATATAATAACATTTTAAACTGCCAACACTTAATAGTGAATTTTAACTACTCTTTCAGCAGATGCTTTTCTTTCTGGCACAGAAATCCCTGGAAAGCAAGGCAGCGACTACTGGCGCGTAGCTTACGAAGTGCCCGATCCCACTATTCATTTGCTTCACGGCTGTCGTTAGCACACCACTAGCAGAAGGGCTGAGTATCTGAACATCAGGGAAGGCAATGAAAATCCCCCATCGGAAGCAGCTGGGCCATAAGAGATGACCCACGGAGTTCCTCTGGCCATTTGACAGTAGGAGCTGGCTAAATCCCTGAACGCAACCCTCCTGACTTTTGCATGGATTTCACCTGCTAAAGTGGAATCGGTCTACAGATAAATTGCCGCTTTTAATGTCGCTGAGAATATATAGTTCAATGACATTTTATTTCTGTCTTAAAAGTCATCTCGGAAGATAACTTTCTCAGAGAATCAGTGCTACCTCAGGGATTAACCGCTCTTCTATGCCCTTCCAAGTCTGAGTTATGTACAGAAGGGAGAATAAGTAGTCAGAGGGTTTGGTTGCAAGTTTGTTTATTTAATCTCTCTTCAAAAGACTAAGAACAGACTGTTCGGCACCCGCCAGCAGAGTTGCCTACTGCAAACAAATATTATACAAAGCATAGAATTTGGCTTTCAATGCAGTTTATAGTAATAGAAAAAGTGTTTCACGTCTAATTTTTTTCTCGGCTGCGCCTCAGGTGACGGTGTATACAGACCTCTTCAAGGGAACGCGGCCTGAATTCCATTTTGGTTCTCTTTCTTTATTTCAGCTGCCTCCATTACCCGAGGAGAACTGCACTTCACCACATTAATTCTAGCAAAGCTCCTGATTCAAGGCAGATGAAGTGGGAGGAAAGAATATTTTTTTCAGATGGGAATTGTTGGATTCACATATAAAAGTGCCTGAAAACCTTAGGATTGACCCACACTAAAAATACACAACAAAAAAATGGTGACTAGGAGAGTGCACTAACAAGTTCTGAGAGCCCTTCAAAAAAAAAAAACCCAAACCTTACAATATTCTACACGAGGATTAAGCTCCCCTTTCAGTGACTTAAAAGCTGTTAACGGAAACCTGGAGGTACAGAACCTGGCACGTACGTGTCCTGCTCACGCCTCCATACAGTCTGAAGGGCTTCAGGTGCCAAAACTTTTGGTCCTACTGAGAGAACTAATGAGACGTTTAATTCCCGACAGAGCGCCGGAGGAGGCGCTGCGGGTGCCTGGAACTTCACCTCAGAGCTGGGTTAGTCTAGAACACAAAAGCCCCAAATTCGCAGCAGTATTTCACATTTAATGCTCGTCCATTTTGGTAAGTTCCAGTTCCCTCCGATACTGAACACCAAAACCTTTTGAAGTCAGACTTAATACTGTTACTAAAACACAACAGAAGCGATTTCATATAATATCATAGTAAATCATCCATGCGCCTTAAAGATTAACCAAGAGGACACAAGTTAAAGCTAGTTAGGAGATAACACAGACTCTGTAAAACACAGATGGATAGTACCTAATGTAGACATTAACCAAGGTTCAGCTCAAACTCTGACTAACCATGAGCTGGTGGCTCCGTCCAGGACTAGAACCAGTAGTTCGATTACAGATGTAGCAGCGGATTGCTGAGATTCCGATGTCCTAAAAGGCTTCATGCCAATTCGATTATTTTCTGCCTACCATCAGTAGAGAGGGAAGAGGCCAACAGATCGGTGCTCCGGTGAGCATTATGAAGGCCAAGTTCTGCATAACAACAGATGTTTGCAACTGGATGCTGAAGCCAAGCCTAATCATGTTCCATTCTGGGTTTTATTCACCCTAAAAGAGTTTTTGCTCTTGAATTAACCGAATGCTCCTGTCCCACGCCCTGCTAAAACCGTCATACAGACTAGGGTTGTATTCACTCCTGGATTGGATTACACACCTACTAGGCTAGGGACTTTATTTTTCTAAATTGCTCTTTATCTGTACACAAAAACTGACAGATCTGCAACCTCCTTAGTCTGAAATGCTGCCCAAGCTTTGTTCTGGCACCCGGTAAGTGACGTTCACCTTTCTCATCGCATCTAAAACTGATGGTCAGAGAACAATCATTTGACTGCTGTTTCCTGTTGGAAGGATTTTAATTTGTTTTAACATCAAATGACTGGTTACAAGACAGTCAAGTGCTCTGATAAATCAGCTTTTGTTATTTAATTCTTTGTGTATGGTGGCAGGCAAAATAAAGTGTATTTAACTGCATGTGTCCCTCTTCACTTACTCAGATTTTCCACGCCAGATTGCATGCATGCATACAGTAAAGCTAAATTGCATAGCCAGGTAATAAAAACTTTCTCGCTTGTGTAGCTGATACTTGCCTGTGGCTCTCCCGGGAAGCTGAGCTGCCCAAAGTGCCTCTCCTTCCTCTGTCTTCACAGGCCTTTACAAGCCGGGTGGTTACAGCGCAACGGACTCTGCGAGAAGTGCCCTGGCCGGAGAAGCCTTCAGTATTTGCCCCCTGCCTCCCAGAGTAACAGGCACTGTTTCCTCGGTGTGTTCTGAGAAAAAGGACTCATCCTCGGACTCTGCAGGGGAGCGAATGTACAATTCCTTTTGCCAGCTCCGGGACTGATCCTAACAGATCTCGACTGGCCTGACACTCACAGATTTCGTAACAAGTTCAGGTGGTTTGCCTGCCGTCGTGAAAATGGGTTTGTTGTAGGGTTATTAAGAAAAGAGTGACATTTTAAATACTCCACTGTTCAACAGTTTAACTTGTCTATTAAGTCGCCAGTAACAGTACCTCAGGATAAACTACAGCTGCAATTCTTCTTTAGGGACAGAAAAATTAGGTAGCCTACCTCTTTTGGCAGCAGAATATTGGTAAAAAGAAGCGAATTTGAGGAGGAACTTTTTAATGTGAAATCCAAGAGACAATATATATGAAGGGAAAAAAAGAAAGAACACAAACTATTGATTGCCAGTATGAACAATATCACAAATTCAGGGATAGAATCTGGCACAGTATCTTTTACATGTAACGCTTATTCACATTTGCAGGGCTCCAGCTATCACACAAGACTGCTGATGCAAAAAGGCAAGTTTACCGCAAACAGGGCGTAACAGAACAAGGACGGTCCTTGCCAGCTTCATTTCTGCTTAGATATTTCATGCTCCTGGTTTTTGTCATCCGATGTAGACCTCTTCATTGCACTGTAAGAAATACAGAAGTAATTACGGCTGGGGAGCAGGGTACCCGGCCCAGTGCGTCCCCAACGCGCTGTAAAGGTCCCCTGCTCACGAGACAGGTCGCAAAACAGGGGCAAGAAGAAAAGCATGAGATGAGGGAAGAAGAGTCAGCCAAAGTTGTAACCAGTAATACAGTGCCATAAACTGTTTTAGTTTATAACGGCTAGTTTATAAACTATAACAGCTACAAGTATACTACAAATATTGCAGTATATGAACGTAGCACGTGCTCTACAGATAACAGAAATGGTCCTAGGGCCAGTCAGACTTGCATATAATCCTTCTCTAGAAGTACAAGTCGTTGTTCTTTGTTACCACTTTCGTAGGACAGTTTTGGCCTTGAGAATTGCATTCTTCTACCCTTGTTCAGTCGAGTCTCAGCAGAAGGACTATGGGGCTGCCTGACAGCAGATTGCCAGGCAGTCACTGCCTACCGCGGGGGAACTCAGGCAAGCGACAACCGTATCCGTGTGCCGAGCAAGGGAAGCAGCACACAGCCGTGCAGAGGTCAGGTGGAGGAGGTTCACGTGGCTGACAATTTAATTACTCTGCAAAATCATTAAGCTCTGGAGATGTGCCATTAGAAGTTCTGGCACATGCAACTGCTAAAGGGATAATTAAAATGTGCCTGGGAGGTTTTATTCCAAGTTATTATTACAGCACAGGGAAGCTACTTTATTTTTTCATGTAAGTTTATTACGCCTCCCACCTGCAGAAGACTCTTTCCATCTGTCGCTTTGTGTCTGTGCCAGCA